GATAAGCTCCCCAGCCTTCGCCAATGACTTCCATTCAAACAGGAGTCCTGTTTGAGCTTCCTTTAATGGTTGTTAACTTTAAAGTTGATTAAAAGTCAAAAATACAAATCTTACAAGTGTAGATCTTCTTTTACTGTATGCCTTTGGATTGAACCTGAGGTCCATAAGTCGTCTCTGATTGTCTGATAGTTTTGTTTTTTTTAGCCAAGGGTGGCAACCCTTGCATGCCTTGTCATTTCTCTGACTTGCTTATCGAGTTTGAGCAAGCTATCCAGCAATACACCTAAGTTACTGACATAGTCACAGGAAGAGCTAGCAAAGGGACCCAAAGCAGCACGAAGTTGGACACGAGGGATTTTACTGTCGAACACCACAATCTCAGTCTTCTTATCGTTTAAGACAAGGGAATTACTCAGGAACCATTCTTTGACCTCACGCATGCATTCTCGAAAGTAATGCAGAGACACAGCAAGCTCATTAGTAAGTTCAAAATAGATCTGTATGTCATCTGCGTAACAGTGAAAGGCAATATTGTATTTTTCAAAGATTGCGCCTAGAGGGAGCAAATACAATGAGAAAAGAATAGGGCCTAAAACTGATCCTTGAGGTACACCGCAACAGAAGAAGAGAAGAAGGTGCCCAAGTTAACCGAAAAGGACCTGTCAGAGAGGTATGATTTAAACAAGTCAAGGGCAGTGCCTCTCATACCCACAGTGTGCTTAAGTCTTAATAATAAGATGTTATGGTCCACCATAACATAACATATTGGAGGAGTCTCGAGGTCCTGGAAGCTGTCAGGGAGTGAGGATGCTTCTGTGCATCGTGGGGGAAATGAGGACGGTTTGTGTATCTCAGATAGTTGGGGGAAGTGCCACTAGGCCAGGCATTACTGGCAGTGACAATGTTATCAAATCTGTTAAAAAAACAAAAACATCAACAGATTTGCTCACACCGTGTCCCCATCTAGAGCACCATTCCTGCATCCTCTGATAGTTTTTCATACCATTCCAGATTTTCTCATGTTTTATATGATCCCTTTACCTTTCTCAATCTGACATTGAGTTCCACTTGTATGTAAGAGGCAGTGCTGCGCAAGTTACTTTGAAAAAGTAATTAATTATAGTTACTAGTTACTTCTTCACAAAAGTAACTGAGTTACAAGATTCTAAAAGTAATTAATTACTTGAAAAGTAACTATTGTGTTACTTTAAAAAAAAAGTTTAACCATGGGGTCCAGGGTATAATTGGCCATTTTTAACTACTTTTGATTTTCCCTCTGCATTTCACCTTTAAAAACTATTTACTTTGCCTTGTTTGGCATCATCCTTTTCAGCACAACCTCACGTGTCTGAATTTACAGTTATGTTTTCATTTTGACAGACTGTATTAACACAATTGATCTAAAATCAGACAAAAAAACATAAAATCCGAGTACAAAAAAATATTTTTTTTACTGTAACAGCCACAAACATGTTTATTGAATCATATTTATAACTTTAAATGCAAATATAAATTGTTGATTTTAATATCATATGCACAAGTTTTGCAAACAACAAAGTTATTTGCAGCCATTTACCTTTTACCTTGATTTTTTAAATAACCATTTCAAACTATTTAGATAACAATCAGGTGTTCTGCATTCAATAAGATGCCACACAAATTATTTGTTCCTCTCCAAAAAAATAATTTCTGTCTACTATAAACGAGAACATCACAGCCTGATACCTGCGGGCCTGACAGCATCACTCCTGTTTTCATTCAGCAGTCGCCTCATTGTTCTGACACACAACACACACTAACTACACAAGACAACACACTCCAAAAACTTCCCCCTCTTCTTAAACAACCAAATGTCATGTTGCCGTATCATTTTTTGATTGGTCGGCATGTTGCATTTTTCCACCAACACAAACGGGCTGGTTTTTGTTTTGTTTTTGTTTTGTTTTGCTCATAAGCAGAGAGGTCTCGCTGAAAAAATGTCGCGTATATATTGTTTATCATGACTCTGGTTTTACGTGGCCTATCAACACAATTTAAAAACTGGCACCTTGTTGCTTTGTCATCTTAAAGTGGTCGTGTGATTGGCTTACCACAACTACTTTATTCTTCCTCAGTTAAACAGCAGCACTCGTGCGATCGTTTTGCCCCCTTAGCTCCAGGTGTTGTGCCAGAAAGTGATCGTCTGTGATTGCCGTCCACGCGAGCGCGCGCAGCTGCTTAAAGCTGTAGTGTCCAGATTACTTACATAAACAGCTACTTCCATACAACTGATATAAGATGCGGTAAGCGGAAGACGGCTTCTGTTTGTTGAAAAATAGTAATGCGACCGCACCACATTTTCTTCTTGGTAATGGTAACGGCGTTGTAACAATAGAAATAGTAATTAGTTCGATTACTCGTTATTGAAGAAAGTAACGCCGTTATTAACGCCGTTATTCCCATCACTGGTAAGAGGTCACACTGGATTGCAAAATTGCTTTCTACTGCAACACAACACAAATGCCCACTGATTATAAATGCTGCAACAGCAGACTGAGCATTTTTAGGTGTATCTAAAGAAGGTGCCAGTCAAAAAGTGAAAACAAAAAAAAATTGTAACCAATTGAAAATCAGTGTGGAGTCCTAATACGTGATAAAAACAGTAAGTTGTAACAGTGAACAGTAACAGTGAAGTATATTTTACTATTAGATTTTCATCTATGCCACCAGTGGGAATGCTGATATTAGAATTGATCTCAAATCACCACTGCACCTGAACACACACTCAAAGATCAATATTTTCAGGAATTCCATAAAACAGTCGGATATAAGAATACAAATAAATAAACAAGGTAATATATTGCATAACTGTTCACGGCACTATTTGGACTGTTTTCTACAATCAATCCACATTTCACATGATAGTGAGTATTTCTGGTAGCAAGCACACTCACAGTGCAGCAGTGGGGCTTTTGGATGTCACAGCTTTAATACCCAAATAATAGTGGTACACACATTATTCGGTACACAGAGAAACACACACATACACACAAGCAAAGAAGTGCTGGTTGCACTTCTGATGCTCAGTCAGACAGCATTCCCAACTCAATTCAGGCTTATTTTTAGGAAGTGAGGTATGTGATCTGTGTCTGGATACTGGAAGTCTAGATCGGCTCCCTGTGTAAAAAGTGCATTCTCTGATCCTGAGTACTGCCCAATAAGCAGTGGAGAGCTCTAACTGACCGAATTCAAAATGCTGTGATTCTCCAAATTTCAGCTACTGCCTACTATGATAAAATATGAAGGTAAATATGTTGCAAAATTTTAGACTGCCAAGTAAAAGAAATCAACTTATCTTAAATGCATGTATTCATTCATATAAACAAAATTTCTATTTTTGTTTGGTGTAATAAGGCTATATACCATGACAATACAATTGAACCTAATATTAACTGTCAAATGTTTATCAATAAATAATTTTGTCAACATTTAAATAATTAATAATGACAGGGGAACAACTGTTTTTAAACGGTTTTTATTCAGGAACAAAATGTGTTCAACTGTCCTGGGGTTTCTTTCAGAGGAGTACAGATGAGGCATAAGAACTCCACAGCAAGTTTGTACAAGTTGGCATAAATCTTATGTTGCCCCTTCCAAACTGAAGTGGGTCCTCCATTCTGGGAATGTTTGCTTCTGCTAACTATCTTTGGACTTCCACTGTGGTATCAGCAATGATGTGGTTTCTCTGGGTCTCCTTTACTGTGGCATCTAAATAACCAAAGTTTGTTTCCTGAGAAGCATAAACAGATTGTGTAAGGCACATAAGTAATCTAGACTGGCTGCAAAACAAAGTAAAAATAATTACCAGGTCTGTCAGCTACGGCATCCTGTAATAATGTTGATGCTGACGCTGCTGCTGGAGTTGACCGGGACATCAAAACAGTAGTACATTCAGATGTTAGTCCTTTGACAGCCTCACTGGCCATTCTGGGGCTAAAGAAACCAATTTGTTTAAAGCGAGGATCCAGCGAGGTGGCCAGCAGCATGATGATCGTGCTTTGCAGGTTTTGAAACTTTTCTCTTAGGAGCCTGATGAAGTGCTAACCCAGTTCCTGTGTCAGTAGGACTGTTGACTGCTTTGCCTACTCCAGCATCTGCTCTACCATTTGTCATAATACTTGATACCTGATATGCTTTTTTCCTCTGACAACTCCACAGTGGCTTCATTAAAGGGTGAGAGAATGGACTAGAGACAGGCAAGTATAAATGGGCAGGTAACAGGTAGACATCACTGTTAACGGATGTCCACATATCTGCCTTAATCTAACTGCTGCTACATTGTTGACCGCAGTTTTACAATAGCTAACAATGGGTGTCTGTGAAAATTGACTAGATTTTGGGATGACCCTCAAGTGACAACTCCAGCAGTGCACTTTTTGGCATCATATTGGCTGAACCTGAAGTTCCACCACACAAAAATTGACACACACACACACACACACACACACACACACACACACACACACACACACACATACATATATATATATATATATATATATATATATATATATATATATATATATATATATATATGGTTTGCAAAGATTGCTATGGTCCTGGGGATGATTGGACCTAATAGTAGTGTGGTGGACTGGGAACTTTGAACGTTCATATAAATATAACATGTATCTACTTTTGAAGGAGGAAATACTCCCTCTGAAATATCAGCAAGCCTCCATGTAGTGCTTGAAAACTACAGAGCGTTAATAGTGGTAGCAAAACAGAACTGAGCTGTCACTGATGTCAGGATGCTTAACCTCAGCCCAACTTTATCAATGAGCAGCAGCAGAAAACTTTTTCTCTCATCCTTGTGGTTTCCTTAGATATGTAGCACCACACTCTGGTCAGCAAACTTTAGTGCAGATGAGTGAATGCTCAAACAGTAACAGGATGTACCATTTGGATTTGCTACATGTATAACCTTCAGAAACAAGTCTTGATCTCTCTTCTGTGTCCAGGCCACAGTTGGACTCATCCGGAATCTCGCACTGTGCCCAGCTAATCAGGCATCACTGAGAGAGGCAGGTGCAATTCCACGACTGGTGAACCTGCTGCTCAAAGCTCACCAGGATACACAAAGACATGCCTCCTCTACACAGCACACATACCAGGTATGGAGAGCGCACACACACACACACACACACACATGGAAATTCAGCCACCAATCTTCACATAAGTAAGGAAATGAGGGTAGGTAGAAAGAAGATAACAGGAATGCATTGACAGGTTTCATCTGTGATGCGGGGTTGGAATTTAGACATGCATGAGTAGTACAAGTACAAAGACACATTCGCTGTGTGCGCACAAACAGAGCAGAGTATAAAATGTGAAATAAAGCAGAAATGTTGAACCTGGAGTGAGCTGCTCTCTTTGGTATCATTTAGTACTGCAGGACCCACTACTGATGCACAAACATTGAATCTCAACAAGTTATTTAATGTTTATTGCTCACTGTGACATTGATATAATAATCTAAGTTTAGATTTCAGTTTTTTTGAGCCTAGACTTCTGCAGTTGATGGTGACGGTTTAAGGCAAGGCCAGTTCAGAGCTATTCTAAACATATATGAGGACTAGATGGTTCATCTTCTGTTTTTCATATTAATCTTTGTTTTATTCCATTAGGTTTATAGTTTGTGACTTTTTTGTCAGTGAAAGTTATAAAAGCTGTTTTATTATAATAATATTAACAATAATAATAATACATTTTATTTATAGGTGCCTTTAAAGACCCTCAAGGTCACCTCGCATTAGTACGAAAAAATTAAAAAAAAATAAGGTATATGAAAAATAAAAAACAAGTACGAAAGTATAAAAGCTAAAAAAGGTAATAAAAAATTGACTAAAACGGAATCATGATGAAGGGTATGCAATTTTGAATAGATGGGTTTTGAGATGTGATTTAAAAGTAGAGAGAGAGTTTGCAGTCCGGGGATCTGGAGGAAGTGCATCCAAAATCTTGGGGGAGAACAGCTAAAGGTTCTGAGTCCCATGGAAGTCTGGTGAGCAGGTGGAAGAGACAGAAGGGAAGCTGAAGAAGAGCGGAGTGCACGAGGGCAGCTTTAAGTTGCTGAAGTTCAGATGAAAACTACGGGGCAGAGAGAGAAGCAAACGGTTCGAGTTCTAAAAGTAATTGTGCAGTTTTGCTTATTTTTGTACAGTGGGAGACTAACGCTGAATAAAACTACAACAGCATGTTGATGTTTGAGATCAACTATTTGATCATGAGCAGTGACATTGTTGGAACCCTCTGACACTTGGCTGGGAATCCTTGGCATCACAGTATTTATGTTGCTTTTCTCCAAGCACCTACTAACAATGATGTGTCAAAAAATAAAATAAAACAAAAGGTCTAATAATAATTCTTCTACTGTATTTAGAGGTCCTCTGCTTTGTTTCTTTGCTTGATGGTTGTATGCATGACTTTCTTCACTTTTCCTGGTTTCAGGATGGCGTTCGCATGGAGGAAATAGTAGAGGGCTGCACAGGAGCGCTTCATATTTTGGCCAGAGACCCTATAAACAGAGGAGAGATTGCCAGCATGCAGACCATACCACTGTTTGTACAGGTACATTCACATGCATGCATATTCAATTCAATTTTATTTATAAACTGCCAAATGGTGGTGGCTGTAGCTCAGGTGGTAGAGCAGGTCCGATGGTTCGATCCATGCATGCCAAATATCCTTGGGCAAGACACTAACCCCATGTTGCTCTCCGATGCATCCATCGGAGTGTGAATGTGTGTGAATGTCAGATAGTAAGCACTAAACAGTTTTAAAAAGGTGCTTGTGTGAATGGATGTGATTGGGTGAATGAGTTCGTTGTATAAAGCACTTTGAGTGCTCAAGTAGAGTAGAAAAGCGCTATATAAGAACCACTCCATTTACCAAATCACAACAATAGTCACATCAAGGCAGACATGTCATTAAGATTACAGGCTCCTACAGAAACTGCTGACTTTCTTGCTAAAAACATTTGGTTCCCATACCACTAAATACACACTGTGGAGTTTAAAGCCAGTAGGATTTCATATATTTCCATCCTAAATATAAATGTCCAGCTAAAGTTGTTCTAGTAGATTTGAACATCAGTTTTTCTGTGACAGACTGATGTTTCTAGACAAAGTATTTCAACTTCATCTTTCATGAATATTAAATGACTAAATGCAAAAGATTATACAAGTACCTAAAACTACTAGATAAAACAGAGATAATGTGAGTCCTGCTCAGAGCCCTCATAGCTGAGTTCTTCGTCTTTCATTCAATGAATACCTCTAGGATGATAGTGTCATTCCAAAAATTAAAGTGAACATGTGTAACTGTGGAGCATAGACCACAGTTGGTAGGGCCATCCACATGGCCTTCCTGGCTGTGATGTGCAGCCATCTGTCCCTCCTTTTTATTACACTACAGTCATTACATTTCATGACACATAACCATACACAAAGGACCTTTGGGGGCAGGTTTGTTACCCAGTGGTTAATGGGCAGAGCTGGCAAGGCAGTCCTAATCACGTCTTCACTGGTATCTGCCTCTCAATTTTACATGCACCTTAGACATGGAGGGTTTGGGGGGAGACGTGTAGATGAGCACTCTTGACCAGGGTCTCATGCTTGTGTCCCCTCAGTTTTAATAGCACTCGAGTTATACTATAAGTCATACTCACTATTTACAGCTCATATACTCACGTACACCAACACATGCACCCAAGAGGCCAATTTAATTAGAAGGCTGGTAATTGGAATGGCTGCTCCAGTCCACATGACAGATATCCTTGAAGGGCACACATTTAAGGGATATTTTCCTGTTAAATAACCTAAAAAATGACTGACTGTTCCTTTAAAACATTCAAATGTGTCAGAAAAAATAATACTCAAGTACAGTACAGATACTTAAAAATTATACTTCATTACAGTGACGAAATATTTGTACTTAGTTGCTTCTCACCTCTGAAACTCACACAGGGAAAACATGCAACCCAAAAAAGAATGCTACTAGCTAGCCAGTAGATTCAAACTCAGAACCTTCGTTTTGTGATCCAACAGTAACCACAACATCACTGTCTTGTGTCAAAAAACACTCTAGTCGGGCAAACAGAACTTGCTGGCATGGCAAACATGAATTAAGTGCATCTTGCCTTCTTTGTGATTTAGTAAGACTTGCAAAAACACACAAAGTATACTCAGTAAAGAAAACACCTCTGACGGCGAACGTTTCCTGCTGTGTGCGTCACACAAAAAAGCCAACTTTAAAAATTCTGACAATTCTGATTCGGATTCTCACGACACTGGCATCAGTGTGTAAGTGGACTCTTACTTATATAGAGCTTTTCTAATGTAACTTAGCACTAAAATGATTTTTACTACAAGCCTCAATCACCTATACAAAGCATCTGCACTAATTTAGGTACTAATGTTTTTGGTAATAAGGATAGCCAAAAAAGTAATGTGTGTTGGGAAATGTCAGGATTTATGTATCTATGTGTCTGTGTGTGTCTGTCCAGCTGCTGTATTCGTATGTGGAGAATGTGAAAAGAGTGTCTGCAGGAGTACTGTGTGAGCTAGCCCTGGACAAACACTCTGCAGAGCTCATAGATGCAGAAGGAGCATCAGCACCACTCATGGAGCTGCTGCACTCAAACAACGAGGGAATTGGTAGGTTCTGAAAATTTAGCAGGAGAAAAACTTGTTGCTTGAAACAACAAAATTCATCCGACACCAAAGACGTTATGTTCAATTTTTATTTCCACTATGGCTTTTTATTCTTTTGTAAGTTAAGAAAAAAGAAGCTCAAGGTTTTTGTGTAGTAAAACGGTGAATGTGGGAAAAACCTGTCAGTGTATCATGAGTGCTATTTGCTGCATTTAATAATGGGTGAAACTGGAAATGTAGCTTATGAGTCATTTAGTAGGCCATGCCAATTGTGCCCGTTAAAATACCTCAGATATATCTATAGCTCCCTCCCACCACTTTGACTATTTTGGACTTACCTTCCACATCTGCTACAGATATTCCTTCAGCCCCTTGTTCTTCTGGATTATTTTATGCTCCTTAAAATAATAATAAAAAAGGAAAAGAAAGAAAAGAAAAGGTAAAGTGGAATTGTAAATGAGGCAGCATGGTGGTGCTGGTTAGCACTGTTGCCTCACATCAAGAATGTTCTGCTGAATGGATGCAAAGACAGGAACGTTGATGCAGACTAAATGGGTGGATTTGTAAAGGGAAAGAACAGCAGACATACAGGATAACTACAAATACCTGGGTCTCCCACATGCCAATATGAACTATGATGACAATGTGCAAATCTCAGTAACAGCCAAATGGCTCCAGAAGATGAGACAGGTTTTGAGAACCCAGATAAATGCTATGAAGAAAATCCAAGCCATGAATACATAGACCCTACTAGTCATCACATACTCAGCAGGAATAATTAGATGACCATAGGAGGTGCATTGAGGTCTCCACCCAAAGTCCAGCACCTTGAGCCATGAGGATTAGTGAACGTCAGAGCCAGGATGAGTCCAGGATGAAACATTTAGAATCCACCAACCTGCTCCAAAAATGCCTCAGGCAGCTGAAAACAGAAGGTGAGGAAGAGCAGCAGTTATGGACGGCCAAGCACCTACATGCTATGGGTCATTGACAGACATCAAGAAATCCTACCAGCGGTTATTAAAGCCTGAACTAAAAGCAAAAAGGTTCCGATCATGGCAGCACAAGAACAGGTCATAAGCACCAGATGCACAGAGTTGGAGTCTAACACACCTGTTAGGACCCAGGCTGTGCATAGGTGCCCTGGAGGCTATCCAACTAATGGTAGCATGATGTAACACTCAAGCTGGGACCTTATACACTGAGAAGCACAACCAAATGTCTGGGGTAGTATATAGGAACACTTGTGCAGCATATGGACAAGAACACACCAAGATACTACCAATGGTTGCTGAGATGAACAGGATTAAGGTCCTGTGGGATTACAAGTTCCAGACAAAAAAGCAGCTGTAGGCCAATGAACTAGACAAGGAGCAGAAAACCACAGTTGTGATAGATGTGGCAATCCTATCCAACAACAGCTGGACTAGTTCTGGTAAATGGACTGGTTCTTGTGTAGTGCTGTTCTACTCTACCTGAGCACTCAAAGCACTTTATTCATACAGAACTTTTATACATTCCTAAGTGCTTTCTATCTAACATTCACACACATTAAAGCTCCAATAGATGGATCGGAGAGCAACCTGGGGTTAGCATCTTGCCCAAGGATATCTGGCGTGCAGACTGGAACAGTCATCGATTTAAACACTAAACTTCCACTAAACATTACACCAACTACCACGAAATCCAAAAGTGCCCTCTGCTGAAGGAATATCTGGAGCAGATGTGGAAGGTAAAGTCCAAAGTGGTCCCAGTGGTAGACTTGAAGAGTGGCTCCGGCAGATTTAAGGAACAAGATTGGAGGTCTGTATCCAAAAGAGTGCAGTCAAGATATTGTGCAGAGCTCTCAACATCCCAGGCCCCATCCAGAGGTTTAGGAACACAGTCCATCATGGATCTGTATGCATATACACTTCTGTAACACAGAAGCTTCCTTACACTCAAAATATGTTCATTCGTGAAAGGACTTGATAATTAATTCTGTTTGTAAATAACTGATGCTGCCATCTCCCTGCAGCTACCTATGCCGCAGCAGTGTTGTTCCGCATTTCAGAAGACAAGAGTTCCGACTACAGGAAGAGAGTGTCAGTGGAGCTTACACATTCGCTGTTCAAGCATGACCCTGCTGCCTGGGAAATGGTAAAATACCTATGTTTGTGGATGTCTGTGTGCTTTTGTGTGCAGAGGTGTTGGCACAAAAGCCACACCCACTCTTAAAGAGTGTTAACCTCATTTCGGTTTGTCTTAATCATCTGCGGACTAACTTCCAACCTGCTCTTTCTTAAAATTTGGCAAAGGCAGATAATTACTAGTTGACTTGACAGATTCAGAAACTTAGCATGCCTGTCTCCTTTTAGATCTACTAATATTATTTACTTGCTGTGGTATAACTGGAAGTCATCAGATTCTATTATTAATTAATTTTATTATTTGACTGTGGCCTAAGGTGTATACTGTTAAAGGCTAATTATGTGATAATACATCTCAGGCCATATTATGCAGTGATTCCTCTGGGGAATAACTAAGTGATGTAATGTATTACATTTAAATAATAGGTAATGTTTTACTTTTTTCGAGTAAAATGTATTATTGTATTTATGTCTAACAATGTCTTCACAGGCCCATACTGCAGTTCCTTTGGAGCCTACGTATCTTCCAGATGGTAAGTACTTTGATGCACAAGAAAATTGTGTTTCAGAGCACATTGTGTTTTCCAAAACTTCAAAGTAGGATTTTGTATCTTACACTGTTTGTTTACTTTTGGTGATAAAATATCGATTGGTGTGAACTGAGATGCAAGCTCTTGTTCTATTAAAATCCAATCTATATCAGTCTTCCCTGCCCAATGTTTGCCTAATCAAGCCATTTCAACTCAATTCAATTTTATTTATATAGCGCCAAATCACAACTGCCGGCTGCCCCAGGCTGCTGTGGGCCCCGGTCCAGATGAGCCTGGGCCCCATAGCCTTGATGGGGCCCAGGCCTGCTGGGGTCAGCGGGGAAGCTGGCCCCTATCAAAAGCCTTCTGTGCATCTAAAGATATATCCAACACAGGATTTGTGTTATTTCTGTTTAGCCACAGCAGGAGTAGTAATCTCCTCATATTATCCTTATATTATATTCTTGACAAACCCTACTTGATCTTTATGAATATTTTTTGGTAGTACAACCTCCAGCCTTGCTGCTAATACTTTGGATAGAATTGTGCAATCCACATTGGTTAAACCTATCACTCTGTAAATACCTGGATCAGTTAAATCGCCTTTTGGAGTTAGTGATATTACTGCCTAAATACAACTTACAGGAAGCAGTCCATATCCAAAAGCTTCATGTTATACTTAAGTTAAAAATTAACATAGCAAATCTATAAATTTGTGATAAAACTGCTGAGAAGCTGAGCTGAGATTCCCGGTGTCCTTCTGGTTTTCATTGCATGGATAGCTTCCTTTACATCTGTCTCTGTTAGGGGAATTTCCCATGTGTCCCTACCCCCTGTGAAATTTGTGGTATTGTCATTTTATCAAAGAACGTGTTCAGCAGGTCCATACTTACTTTGTTATCAGACGTGTATAAGTCTTGATAAAATATTTTAAAAAATCATGCTGATCTCCAAAGAGGATATAACTAATTTATCATCCTTTTTAATTGCCGTGATAACATTCTGGTTGTCTATTTGCTTAAGTTGTCTGGCTAATAGTCTGCCTGTCTTCTCACCATTCGCATACAAATTTGTTTTAAGATGAAAGATTGCATGCTCCGCATTTCTGTTATAAATTTCATGAAGGTTACCCTTAAGCCAACAAATCTCTTTAAATGTATTATCATCAAATTTCCCTGCTAATTGTCTTTCCATTTACCTATCTTTTCCTCCAAAATGTGCATCTTTTGCTTATTTTCTTTATTTTTCTTAGCGCTATAACACTTTCCACTAATAAATACCTTCAGTGGCCGACCTGTCCGTAGATCCAACATTCACCTCTGTTTCTCTCAAATGTGCTGTAGTCACACCACCACTCAAAAGAAAGGACATAGATCACAGGAGCCAACAATGTGACTTCAATACTGGGGGAATATGGTCAGATTTTTGCATACAAGAACTCTGACTGCTACGTATTGAATGAACATCAGGATTTGGATAATCCTGCAAACAGACCTGCTTGATATGAATACATGGACCAATATCTTATAGTCAGTTTGAGACTAGAATTTTCTAACCTTTCTAACCTAACCATATATTTGTAAGTGAAGGAGAGTAATTGTGGTGACCTTTTTTGATGTAACTATTAAAACTCTCCAAAATGATGCCAAGGTTGTTGACTTGTTTCAGAGACAGGGGTAGTATATATGAGCAGTTTGTCAGTCTCTAACATTTTGGACCAACAGCAAATATTTCTGTCTCTGTTTAATTCCCAAAAGTTTTGAGGCATCCAACAAATTAATGTCATCGGCGCACCTCATTAGTTTGTGAACAGAGGTTCAATCATCAGAAGAAAAAAAATATTAGCACAATTGTATATCATCAACATAAGATTGGCTAGATGATTGTTTGTGAGAGTAGTAAGAAGAAGCATGTAAAGGTTAAAGAATAATAAACAAAAAATAGACCCTTGAGGAACCACTGAGAAAATATTTATATATAGGTCTAAAACTGCTAATTAAAACAGAGATTTTGATATGATATGATTCGATGTGATATGATGAAAAACAACTGAGAACTGGACCTGTTGAACCAACTGAGTCACGAAGTCTTTGAATGAAATTGTCATGATCAACAGTGTTGAAGGCAGCAGTGAAATAGTAGAACTAAAACTGAAAGTCTCTGTCTATATCAGGGGTCGGCAACCCTGAGCACACGTGCCACAGCTGGCACGCGAAGGGTTAACTGATGACACGACCATAGCTGGACTGGCCATCAGGCATACCGGTGGGTCGATGGTGATTTTTATGGGCCGATGACTTTTTTTCTTGTAACGGCATGAACAATGAGAGGTGGTGGATTGGCCAGGTGCTGGCTGACGTGTAAAAATAACTCAGTTGTTTGGTGGTGGCTCTGGCGGAGCTTCCACAGAGGCCAGAGGGTGGATGAGGGAAGGGGAGGCAGGGGGAGGAGAGACCCGAGGCGGCCGCCGGTCCGAGTGTCAGGTGAACTGAGCTACAGGTAAGAAGTTATGAGCTGCAGTCTATCTGGGTCAGATATAAACTAAGTTTAGGTGGAGTTTATTTTCGTTGTGCTAGCTAGCATGACGGAGTTTCTATACATCTGGGTGGGTGCTGTGATGTTACTGATAGTGAACTTTGTTTTATTCATAAGGTTAGTTAGTAGAGTTTCCAACTGTCCCGTAAAAAATGGAATCGTTCCGTATTGAGAGAAAATATTACGCGTTTCGTATTGAGCTGAAAAGGAACAGTTTGTCCCGGACTTCAGCTACAATGGAAAAAGTTATTCTGTCTTTATGCTGCACAGCTGCCTCTTCTTCTCTCATTCTCTCCCCTCCCTTTTCCTGTTTCTACTTCAATCATGAAACTGATCGATGATCAGCTGATCGTCTCTCTTGTTTATTTATCGTCCACTTTGCGCCAGAAAGAAGAAACCAGCGGATGTCGCGCTAAACAACAGCAGCACGTTTAAGCTTGATCAGCTGTTGTTAGAATTTATTTAATATTACTTTCTAGTATCAGCTGATGTTTGCTGGAGCCACAGCTGTAAAGCTGCTGGTCATGATGGTTTGGATATGTGGTGAGAGGGAAACATGAAGATGAAACCAGGAGATGTCCTTACTGGATCATCAGAGCTGAACAGGTGATGGAGAAACAGGTTTACCTTTTAGGTGACATGGATGAGTTGAAGTTATGAACTGTTTCTGAGAGACAAATAACACCAGGATCCTTTTTGTGTAGCTGACAGCTGGTAACTGTGCAGGGGCGGGTCTAGCAAAGTGTTGCCAGGGGGGCAGGTAGGGCATTAACAGGGAAAGGGGGGCACAAAGAAATACTTTTCTTTCTTATTCTCATTTAAAATGTTTCGCTTTTAATAAATAATTATCTGAATCTTACAACCAAAGTTTTTATCTGATGTAAAATGTATAGAAATCACACATATACCAACAAGACTGTACATCACTGTCACAACAGCGTCTGTTTTCATTCAAAGGCTTTATGGCTTTAATACCTGGGGGCCGGTCTCTAGTCAAAATGCCCGGGATGATTTTTTGTCCCAGTCCAGCCCTGGACACGACACGCAGTGAATTAATCTGAGAGGTGCTTTAAAAAATAAATGGCCGGGCCAGCGGTGCACATCGCAAATTATCGCGCATAGAAACATTAGTTGTGCCGCTTCTTAATGACAGTATCTTAGCTAACAGCTCCAATTACCAGACTCAACTTGTAATTGGCTAAAAATAACCCAGCCTACCGGTGAAAGGGACGTTGCCAGCTGGCAGTTTTTTCAAGCGATGTTGTAATTTACACATTCGGACACTTCAAATGCTTCAGGAGCTGTCACTACCTGTGTGTGTTCATGGAGCTGCATGTTCACCTGCTGGACGTCACTACCTGACAAGTTTGACTATCTTCAGAACATTGCAGAGGCCTTACTGACAGTATTTGGCTCTACATGTCTGTGTGAGCAGGTTTTCTCTCACGAGTCCTCAGGTAGCCTCTGAATGCTGGACAATGGGAGACCTGTGTCTCTGAGTGGGAGACCAGAGATCACATTAACATGTGTGTCTCTGTATTAACAAACATGCCGTATTGACCCAGTTTATTTTTCTTATCATTGTTGTGAGGAGACCATAAATAGCATTTGTATTTTCTGTTGTTCAGTTCATTTGTTGTTATGGATAAAAAGTCTTTTTTTCTTTCATAATAGCTGATAGCTGCCAAAATCTGTGAACAAATATAATTCTGTAAAGTGGTTCTAGCTAGTGTGTAACTGTTAATACAGAGCGTTATTAAATTTATTGCTAATGCAATCATATGGCACACTGACTTCTGAGGAAATTTTAGATGGCACTTATTAAATCCAGTTCTTTGTATTCTTCACGGCAAAGAAAGACACGGCTCAAAGTGGTCAAAGCTCAAACAAATGATCTTTATTTTACATTCCCGGGAACGGAGACCTGAACACACGAACACACAAGCTCAGGTCTGAAAGCAGCAGTGCCAGCCTGGTTATATATATATGTCCGCTGCACGTCACACACATTTTAAGTTTTGATCAAAACACTGCTTACTTTCACTTTCTGTCTTCACCTCATAAGCTCTGCAAAAGCATGCAGTTTCCTGTCAGCCTGCGACCTGGTTTACACTCAAAGTTGGCCCTCTCCTATTAAAATACATAAAACAATATAATCAAATAAGCACTAAGTATATATATTTAAATTCCAACACACTCATCATCAGAAAGGTTGCCTACCCCTGGTCTATATACTTCCCTCCATCATACAATCTGATACAATGAAACTGTAACAGTATGTATCCATGTTTGTGTGGGGATGGCATTTAAAATTTCCAAAACAAATTTAAAATTAAGAGCCATAATGGAGGTGAACTGAAGGTTTTAATTTGATAGTGCTGACAGAAAATCCTCATTGTAACTCTAGGAGCAGTGTTTTTAATTTTGAATAGTTTGAAAAATACAAACCACCAGTCACTCAGGTTATGTCTGTCTGCATCTCAGAGTTAGATGGCTCTTACCCCCCATATGGCTATGCTGATCTGCCACTGGACACCCTGCCGCTAGACCCCGACCTCCATGAGCCCTACATTCCTGACATGACTTATGATCCAAGACAGACCTACCCTGAGCCACTCTAACAGGTAATCATACCGATGATGTTTACTTTCTGTCCAGGTTAAAGTGTTATTGTGAATGCACACACAGTTGCTAGTGGTCAGACCAAATATATAGCCATATAAGAAGCTCACTGTAAATGAGAAGAAGGTTATGCCCAGTATGTGTTCACCCACTGGTTTCTGGATTTTGCATTTTGAGACCTCAGTGTTATCATGTTAGACTGCCATGTTGTTGTCTTTTTAACCAGAAATTAGCGGATAACTTCCATAACTAACATCCATAAATTGTACAACCCAAATGAACCCAAATGCAGACACAGGAAGGCAGGTGGAAGTTAACAAAAGGCTAGCCCTTTATTCAGCCGATGCAAAAAGCCATAGGCCAACAGGATTATAAGGACAAAACTAACTCAACTAACTCTTGGCAAGGAACCACACGGAAACTAAGACCAGGGAACTGAACAGTATGCACTGACCAAGGGGAGACAAAGATATATTGCAGTATTTAGAAAATCCCCTCTCACCCCTGCAGGGTACCCTTTATCCTTCAAGCTTGCATTGTCTGCCAGAGGCCTTGGAGCTTGAAGGTCCTGTGCAGTATCTTTGCTGTGCCAGGACTGCGCTCTTCTGGACAGAGATCTCAGATGTTGCTCCTGGGTTCTGCCGGAGCCACTCACCTCCACATCTTCTTGAGTACTTCTCTGAGCCCTTAGTTCTTCTCAGTGAGAGCAGTTTTTTCTTCTGAATGTTGGAACACTGAGCTACTGGTTGTTTTGCAATCAATCTGGATGCTGGGTAGCGAAGAATCCATAGGTCCCTCATCCTATTTATGTAACCCCTTCCGCTGGGGTTACTTGCATAGTAGCATTCCAACAATTCCAAAAGCGCCCTATTTTAATCTCTTGCCCACCTGTGCCTTCTTGTTCCAGTAGCCCACTTCTCATCAGTGTGTTTCAACAACCCCAAACACACCTCCAAAAAGACCAGTGCCTTGCTAAATAAAGTAACTTGAGTGGCCAAGCATGTCTACAGACTTAAACCCTATTGAGCAGCTGTGGGGCATCCTCAAATGGAAGGTGCAGGAGCACAAGGTCTCTAACATCCACCAGCTCCATGACGTCATCAAGGAGGAGTGGAAGAGGACTCCAGTGGCAGCCTGTGACGCTCTAGTGAACTCCATGGCCAACAGAGGCAGAGTTGGAAAATAATGGCTGACACACAAAATTGACACTCTGGGCACAAGTTAGGCGTGGACTCACTTTTGTTGCCAGCAGTTTAGACATTAATGACTGTATGCTGAGTTATTTTGAGGTCACAGCAAATTTACACTGTTATACAAGCTGTACACTGACTACTTTGCATTGTATTAAAGTGTCATATCTTCAGTGTTGTCCCATAAAAAGATATAATAAAATATTTACAGAAATGTGAGGTAGTGTATATACGTTAGGATATCATATATGGACAATCTAAATATCACATTATAGTTTGCATCAATATATCCAATATATCGTGTCACATTTAACCTCTGATCTCACTTTTACATTTCACATGTGCCATTTTTCAAATTGGCACACGGTAACTAAATGAATATATACAAAATACAATAGTATCACCTTAAAATTACATACTGCCCATAAAGTGAGCTGCACTGCTGGAGATTTGCACTCCTAGTACTTCTCATTACTGTACCTTTTACTGTATTATGATAATACAGATAATATATTTTTTGTAATAATAACACTCAGTTTATCATTCTTGAACATTTGCTCTTTTGTGTTGCAGAAAAAAACACGCTGACAGAAAAAGAGAGCACTAATAAATCACAGGAAGAAAGCCTGAGCGTTGGATGGAAGATTGGAGGTTTTCATCACAAAAGGAATCAACCTTTTCCAGCACGGGAAAAAATCCCATTTGGAAATCAAGAACTATTGAAATTGGTTGGTTATCTAAACAATGTTTATTGTTGTTGTAAATGAAATAAATCTAACTTTATTATAATGTTTTACTGTTGGGGCAACATGGAGGATATCTGATGTTTTCAGGCATTGTTACTTGGGTAACTTTTTGAAGCTCTTAGATAGGTCAAAGTGCTTTACAATGACAGTTGAGACATGTGAGACAACCTCAGCTGAGAATCCTTACCAAATGGTTTCATCTGCAAAGATCTAGAAACAAGTCAGAAAACTTTAATCGGTTGAACTTTATCACATGAGTGCTAAAATGTGATGCAATGTCTGACAGCTCATTGCTTTAGATTTCTCTCCCCATGTGTATTGCATAAGAAAAATATATGTTCCATTCGCCTCTTCAAAATAACAAAACAACATGCTGCTAGGGTAAGGGTTAGGTTCTATGCTTGTATAGTGACTATGCACTTATTTCGGACATCCAAATTAAAATCATATCACAGATGAAGTGTTGGTCAAAAATTCATATGCAGTGGAGATAAAGTCCGGTTATTGAAAGTATGCTAGTTTACGTCTTAAATCTAACTTAACCCTAACCATACCATACATGGTTCACTGGTGAAACTGCAGGTGGTTCAAATTTATACTTAACTCTGACCCAGAATACTGATTCAACAGCATTACTCATCATGAAAAATTTGAGGTCTTGTGAATACCAAACATTTAATAGAAAACATTTTCCTCCTGTTGGCGGTATTGCTGCCAAATGCTACCCGTGTATCCTAGCCCTAAGCTGCTGTCCAGTAGATGTCTCCTGCGTGTATTTGAACAGTGCACATGTCTAAGGGTGTCCATGTGTGGTTGTTGCATGGTAATATATTGTGTACTCATTGAAACAGTCCTCACCTTTACAAACAGTGATTTGAAAAACAAACAACACACACACACACATCTGGGTTTAACAAACAATTTTGACCACGCCAACAATTTGCAAAACTTGTGAAGGACAAAACCAACCATGGTCCCAGCTTTACTTTCAGTAAGAAGATACTCTTGTCAGGTATCTACAGGAAGTTAATTGCAAATTCCCTCCGCTTCAGTGTCAGACAACAAAGCTCACTTTTACAAATTACCTTTGTAGCAAGGGGCATGTCCAATATTTCAGTGTTTTCAATATGAAACTTGTCTAAGTGTATGTCTTTGGAAATGGCGACAGGTGGTGGTGGTGTTGCAGAGTGTGATCATACAGTTGTAGGTAGAATTTTACATTTCTTCATCATTTTTGGCTTGATTTCTTTGAACTGTTTTTTTTTTTCAAGTTTGGAATGAATTGTAAATTTTTCTTTCCAAGCTCCTTAGACAATAAATTGTAAAGTATAAATCTTTAATGACTTTAAAGAAGAAGAATTGGATGAGCAGGTTTGAATTTATTTTTTTATTTTCTCTAATCCACAACAGGGTTAAAGGTACACAAGCAGGGCAAAAATATACATACATTCACTTAAATCTTTTAATAATTTGGTAGTTTCTTGTTGCCCATATAAAACGATTTTTTTGACATTGAACTGACCAGTACTCAGAAAAATGGGAGCTCAGTAACTACCTTAGAAAGAGAATTGTAGATTTACATAAAACATGTACATGTAACTGGAAAGGTTTCTGACGTGTCATCACTTTGCCATGGTCTGGGAAATTACCCAAAGTTTCACCCTTGGATCACACAAAATTGTTCAGACGTTCAAAAATAACTCAGGAACCACCAAAGCTGAAGCCTGCCATGAACAGGGAACTATTGGCTTTACATTGCTATGGACAGAGAATGCTGACCAAGACCCCTGCTCCAAAATCAGCACCTTCAAGCTCAACTGAAATTTGAAGCAGCCTACATGGACAGACCGAATGCATCTGATCATAAAAGTTATGATCAGATGAGATGCAGATTGAGCTTTTTGGCTGCAATGATAAGTGGTAGAGTTCTGTTCAAAAATTTGCATACACTAATTATAGGAATGAAGGTCATGGTAATTTGAGGTTTTTAATTACATCTTTGAACTACCCTTTTTCTAAAGTGGAATGATTGTTCAGCATGAATCTTTAATGAATTCAAAAAGCAAGAAAAGTTTGACTTTATTTTTGATTCGTCTTTAATCCATCAACAGTTAGGTCCAGTTTGGACAGAGATGAATTTTACATGAAACAACTCAACAATGAAACACAACAGCAGGTGAAGTGCAGACTTTCAGCTTTAATTTAGTGGGTTGAACAAAAACATTGTGTAAAAATGTCAGGAACTAAAACATTTTTAACACAACCCCTTCATTTCAGGGGCTCAAAAGTAATTGGACAAACTAAATAACTGAAAATAAACTCTTCATTTCTGACACTTGGATGAAACCCCTGTTTTGGCAATGACAGCCTGAAGTCTATAGACTTTGATATGAATACTCCTACCTCCTGGAAAGTGTTGGTTGGCTGTTTTGAAGGAGTTTCTCGTCACTGTGGAAACCATTCTGCAATCATCCACCACTTTCTTTCTTTCTTTCTCAGGATGTGCCAAACTCTAGATTTTGCCACTCCTAATATTGCAGGACTTTCTCGGATAGTTTTTTTTTTCTGCTTTCACAGCTTAAGGACGGCATGTTTCACCTGCATAGAGAGCTACTTTGACCGCATGTTTTCTGTCCACAGCAAAATCTTCTCAATTCTCTCTTACATTTTGATTACATTTTTTGATCAAGAATTTAATTATTAGATTTACTATTAGCAAACCCATACAATTAAACTCTGTTTTAGCACTCCTTATCACTTTTAACATAAAAAGCTAGATGTAAAGTCCTTTAACCCTCTCTCAGATGTAATGAGACATAAGCCAGGGGACAATCTTTTTTCCCACTTTAACTGTTTTAATAAGTGATACTGGAGTTTGTACAATGTCTTTTAACTCTGCAAGACCAGGGCCTATAAACTTCTCATTAATTATGAGTTACTGGTAATTTTTCTTTGTCAGCAAAAAAGAAAAACTTTTTAAAAGCACTTACGGGTTTGACAGTACTCAGAACAATGTGAAAGTCCAAGAGCTCCATGAGGATCTAAGTAGAGAAACTTGAAGCCATT